CCTGGCTATTTTTTGGTTGCAGCCGTCATTGTTGTTCAGCGGACCCGGGCTGGATTCGAACCCGCCACCTTAGGTATACTTGGCTGGCACCCTAGCCGATTGAGCCACAGGCGCCGAGCCAGTATTTCATTTTCTTTGGGGCTATGAAAGGAGTTGTGTCCTTAATGAGCCTCTCATCTTGACTGTTATTGGCGTATACAAAGGCAACTGACTTGTGGACATTGATTTTACATCCTGAGATGTTACTGTATTTTTTGATGACTTCCAAGAGTCTTGTGGTTGAGTCTTTGGGGTTCTCTAAGTATAAGATCATATTGTGAGCAAAGAGGTAGAGTTTGACCTCCTCTGCTCCCATTTGGATGCCCTTTATTTCCTTGTCTTGCCTAATTGGCTAGAACTTCCAGCACAATGTTGGGTAGTAATGGTGACAGAGGACAACCTTGTCTGGTTCCAGTTCTAAGATGAAAAGCTTTCAGTTTCACTCCATTCAGTAAAATATTAGCCGTGGGTTTGTCATGGATAGCTTCAATCAGTTTCAGAAATGTACCACCTATGCCTAAACTCTTTGGTGTTCTAATTAGAAAAGGATGCTAGATTTTATCAAATGCTTTTTCTGTGTCTATTGAGAGGATCATATAGGCTTTGTTTTTGCTTCTGTTGATATGGTGAATGACATTTATGGATTTATGTATATTAAATCAGCCTTGCATCCCTGGGATGAAACCTACTTGATCATGATGTATGACTTTTTTGATGATCAGCTGTAATCTGTTGGCTAGGATTTTGTTGAGAATTTTTGCATCTGTATTCAACAGTGAAATTGTTCTAAAGTTGTCCTTTTGATTTTTATTATTTTTTTATTGAGTCATAGTCACATAGATCATGTATACATTAATGCATTTAGGTATAATGCGCTAATTTCATATAAAATTAGGAATGCTTACATCACACTGGTTATATATACCTCATCTCATTTACTTAGTTATTGTGATAAGACATTTATACTCTATACTAAAAGATCCGACATGTACCCTTGCATTATTAAAGTTCTCCTTTTTACTTGGGTCTTTTCTTGGTTTTGATATCAGGATGATGTTTGCTTCATAGAACATGTTGGGGGAAGATTCCTTCCTCCTCAATTTTTTGGAATAATTTCTGCAGTATGGGAATAAGTTCTTCCTTGAAGGTTTGATAGAATTCTGGTGTGAAGCCATCTGGACCAGGGCATTTTTTTGTTGGGAGATTTTTTATTGTTTCTTTGATCTCAGTTCTTGAAATTGGTCTGTTCAGGAGATGTATTTCATGTGGCCTAAGTCTAGGGAGAGGGTGTGATTCCAAATATTGATCCAGTTCCTTCACATTGTCAAATTTCTGGGCATAAAGTTTCTGGTGGTATTCAGAGCTATTCTCTTGTATCTCTGTGGCATTAATTGTTATTTCTCCTTTACCATTTCTGATTGAGGTTACTAGAGATTTTACTTTTCTATTTCTAGTTAATCTGGCCAAAGGTTTATCTATTTTATTTATTTTTTCAAAACACCAACTCCTTCTTTCATTAATTTTCTGAATGATTCTTTTGTTTTCAATTTCAATGATCTCTGATTTAATTTTGGATATTTCTTTTCTTCTACTAGGTTTAGACTTAGATTGTTCTTCTTTTTCCAATTCCATCAGATGGCTTGTGAGTTTGTTGATGTGCTCTCTTTCTGTTTTTCAAATGTAGGCTTCTAAAGCGATAAAGTTTGCTCTCAGGACTGTTTTTGCTGTATCTCACAGGTTTTGGTAGCTTTTGTCTTCAATGTCGTTATACTCAAAGAAGTGAATGATTTCCTCTTTTATTTCTTCCTGCACCCAACTGTCATTCAGCACAAGATTGTTTGACTTCCATGCCTTTGTGTGAGGCTGAACGTTTTTATTGGAGTTGAGTTCCACTTTTAGTGCCTTGTGGTCTGAGAAAATGCAAGGTAAAATTTCAATTCTTTTGATTCTGTTGAGGTTTATTTTGTGTCTTAGGATATGATCAGTTTTGAAGAATGTTCCATGGGGTGATGAGAAGAATGTATGTTCTTTATCTTTGGGATGGAGTGTTCTATATACGACTATCAAGCACAATTGTTCTAGAGTCTTGTTTAAATCTCTTATATCTTTGTTCAATTTCTGTTTAGAAGATCTGAGCAGCTCTGAGAGAGGGGTGTTAAAGTCCCCTGTTATCATGGTGTTATAGGATATCATATTGCTCAGATTAAGCAAGGTCTGTTTCAAGAATCTGGGAGCATTTAAATTGGGTGCATAAATATTTAGAATTGAAATGTCTTCTT